TTTTTCCCTCCCTCCCTCCCTTCTTCTCTGAACTTTGATGTTAATCTGCAAACTACGAAGTAGCTACGGTAAATGACTCTTCCATAAATATCATTCTGAAACATAAAAATGGAGAGATAACAAAATTGTGTGAAGACAGAGCACTTAAAAGTGATTTTAAAGTGATAATTAGAGTTGAATATTGAAATATCAAAAACACGAAATTGAAATTATGCAATGGACAGTGGAAAGATATTTTCTTTGTATTTTTGAAATACAGGTTATGATCTCAGTTTTTACACCTTCTGAAAATAACTTTTGAAAGTTACTACTTTGGATAACAAAAATATTTCCAAAAATAAGAAAACTGATTTATGCAGATGATAATATAATATTCTAAATGTTCATTATCTAGTACAAAGGATTACCCTTACACAGTAAGCTTTATGGAGATTCCTAGTCTCACACAAACATAGAATGGTTTCTCAACTGACTAGAAAAATCTTTAAAAGCAAATTTACCTTTGAAAAAAGGGTAAATAAAGGTCATAAAATTATATGCATCCAGACTTACTATATGTTGATTACTAAATATTGGACCTGTTTTGTGGGTGAGTACACTTCCCATTCACACACACAGATACACCTCTTCCCCCTGCAAACAGATGTCTGATTTTGTGTCTCAAAAAGGGGAATCTTTTTTTTGTTCAATGGGATTTGGTTCTCAAAGTCAAGGGGTATTCTTGCTATATGAAGGTAATAAAATCAATTAAATAGATGATAAAAACTGTTCAAACTACATCTATGTAAACCATTAAGTCTAACTTAGGTTGCTTATCTAGTAAGTTTTTTCAAATTATTAATGCAACTAAAGAATAATTACATCAATAACAGATCATCTTTTTTTTGCAGGAAGACATTCATGGCATCTTTAGCATACACTTATGGCATGGATTTTTTATTAAAAGATTTTTTTCAATAAATTTTTCTATATTCAGTTTTTCCAATTATTTAACTCTGGGTTAATTAAAATATGAAAAAAACTCTCATTAAAACCAACACCTTGCTTTCCAAATATCAGCTACCATAATTACATTTGGGTTGTCTAGATAATACCAATTAGCACTGGCAAACTGTAGGCATAACCTTATATAGAAATATAGATTTTCTTTTATCAGAGATTTTGGCTGCTAATAGATAAGAGATCTACTATGGAATTCTACCTAAGCTCATTTGCTTTTCAAGAGGCTTGTGAGAAGCGGAATGCAGGCAACAACATGGTGAGAAACCCATTCCAAAATTACCAGCTGAATACCTTACCATGGCTTGATTTGATGAACTGAGAAAATTCTTAAGTGTTATTAGTAAAAACACAGCTTGATCAAATAGATCTCAACTGAATAAAGAACTTGATTGTTGTTCATTTGTTGGATTTCTGGAGGTTGATATTGGAAGTACAATCACTACAAATACAGTGAAATAAATATATATTGATTCCTCAGACCCATAAAAATGTCAAATAGAGGCTTTGTTTGTAAGAGGTATGTAATAAATACACACTTAATTAAATTAAAGACACATACTTTTGAATGGACAAATCATAAATACACCCTCTTGAAAATCAGAACATCAATCATAATAGAAATTATATGAGCAATAAATGAAATTGCAAGCTGGTTTTAATTAAAAGGTAATAGTGCAAATATTTTATGTATATTCTTTCAAGATAATATTCCAGTGCTTCTGCCAAGTATAAATACTATCAGAAAAGCTGAAAATAAATACCTTTCATTGCACTTAGTTTAACTACAGCAGTTTTCACAGGGAGCACTTAAATAACCAGCAGTGTATCAAAGTTCCTATCAGGCCATGTGGATTAGTACTTGCAAGTTTCTAAAATGTATGAACCATAGTATAATTTAAAGTAATTTGATGTGAAAAAATATGTTGAGATATATGGTGCCTTGTCCATAATTTCTAGCTTGTAAAATAAGAAAATAGACATGATTATAAATATGCAAATACAGCATATGCAAGATGCATGCAAAGCGTGCACTATAAATTCAGGTAGAAATGACAATTTATTGAAAGGCTGGTAACTGAAGAGAACAGAGCAGAGGCTGAGCTGCAGCATGTCACTACAATTCTTTGTCCTCATCTGGCAGAAATCTATTGAGCTGGGAGCTCATTTTAATCTTAATTTAATTAGTGACTACAGGCACATATATTTAAATAACCTTCTCCAGATTTTTCTAATTCTTTTATTTTCTTTTACAGTATGGAGAACCTATGCTACACACTGCAGAGGAACTAAGTAGTGGCTAAAGGAACTTGCCTATCAATTGCTTAAAGATAAGTGCTTTTCCCACCATCCTTCTTCCCTTGTCCTTTGGAAAAACTAAAATCTTTTCTTCAGAAACAGTAAGTTTGTCTATCACAATATCCAATACATCCTATGAGTTATGTTCAATAAATACTGTTCTCAATAGTGTTCTCATTTTACCCTTTTAAAACTTGATTTTCAGTCAGAAACTTTGCTTATTTACTCTTGGATATTTAGACTCAGTGAAAATAAAGTTCTGCACTTTTGAAAAGCAAATTGTTAGGAATTGATTGTGAGGATTGTTTCTTCAGTAATATGTTTTAAAAGTTATTGCCAAAATATAGCAGTGAAATTTGGAGCGTAGGAAAAATCTGTTGAACAAATTAAACAAATTAAAAGAAACTGACCTGATTTGTACAATAATGTACAGACACACACATATATATAAATAAATACATTTTATTCCTGTAACCAAAGCATCTTGCACAATTTAAGCTGCTTAAAACCATAGAAATAATTACAAGTAATATTTTTAATTGTAACTCATAAAAGAATGTGCCGCTACTTACTTAGAGCAGAATTAGAAACAATAGTCAGGCCAAAATATTTTCAGAGGCAATATGGCTTCAAATAAACCTGGATAATTTCTACTCCTTAAACTGCAAAGAGCTACCTTTACATTGTGGAAGATAAGTGAAAAAGTAGCAGTTGAATAAAGTGTTTCATTTGGTAGTTTGTGAGTTTGAGCTTTTAGGTTTTGGTTCTTTTGGTTTGTGGTTTTGGGGTTTTTCCCCTTTGCTTTATATTGTTTCTAACACAATATATATTTATTTCTTATAATGCTAATTAACCCTATCTCCTGTTAATGTTAATTATCTCCTATAACCCTTATAGGAGACATTTATGTTTTGATTTGGGAAGTATACAAAATTTGCAACAGTTTTTATAGATGTTAATGCCTAGAATGCAACATGAAATAACTCTTCAGATGTGACCAAGCAATTGTACACCTTTGTTTCTAGATACTTGAGACTCACTATTTACAGCAGAATCTTTACATTGCTTTGTGAATGTAGCATTTTTTTCTAAATATTTTTACTTTTATGAAGAATACTGGAAACAAAAATCCATAGCAATCAGTATCAGAGCATTACAAATTAATTCACTATGAAAAAGAACTAGATGGTGGATGAGGAGATGAAATTATTTTTTCAAGTCTAGATTCTAATAGTAGAATAATTGCCCTTCAAGCAAGATGGCAGAAATAAACATATGATCATGTTGCTCTCAAAAGTCTGATGAGAAGCTCTCTGATAAATTATGAGTGTGTTCTGGGATTCTGGAAATGATACAAAATTGATCAATGGTGGAAGAAGTAGTGGAGAAGTATAATGTAAATATTCTTTTATTTAGTGGGTTTGTCTTCTATAGACAACACCATAAATACTTTATAATATTATACAAATGACAGTGCAGCCCATTGAACCATTTCTGGAAATTTTTCCCAGTGTTCCAAAAAAAAGCTTATGAAAATATTAGCAAAAATTATTGACCCAAAAAGCATTAAATTATAGATTGTAAAGGCAATTAAAAATGCAAAAATTGCTGATGGGAAGCTAAAAGGAGGATAAATATGTATTCATAGGGTACATGTCTCTAAAGAAATCTCTAACTAAAAGCCATTAATTCTTTATATCATAATCTTATCCTCTTTCATATTTTAAATGTGAATGAAAAAGATAATTAAGAACTTTATCCATATATCTCAGATTCATCTTACGTATAAAGCAAATATTTCTTCACTGGTTTTCTTTAAGTTCTGCTGACTGCATTGCACATTTATTTGTGTGCTTTTTTGCTCCTTTCTGCTGTCAGTACTGGGCAATTCGTGCCATCTACAAAGATTATGATTTCTCTCACCTAAGCAAATGTATTTAATCTTTATGATTCCTTTATATTAAATGGACAAAAAAGTAATTGATTTATTCCAGCTAATATTGATTCTTTTGGTAAATGTCACCTTGAGAAAACTTTTTCTGCTAGGATTCAACTCAAGGATTGGAATAATTGAGAAGACTGGTAGGCACTGGAGCACGGAGAGCCCTTCGGCCTCTGTGGATATATACTACAGAATAAAATTATCAACACTCTAAACTTGTACTGAGCACAATTCTGACTGTAATCTGTTCCACACATAGATACCCCTTTTAAAGACACATGGTAAAATGATTCTCACCTCCTGTACTGTGCACGTATTTTTATTTCTATTGACTATTTAGGATACCTAGATGAATTTCAGATGTCTAAAGTTAGGTGAGACAAAGCCCACTCTCAACACCTAGACACCCCTCACTATAAGCTGCAAAGCACACAATGTTGCAGTTCTGTAATATTTGCCTAAGCAATGATTATAAGATTAACTGTGTGCAAAATACCTGCACACATATTTTTCAAGATATTCACAGGATGTTCTTCACATAGGAATATTAGAAGACACATCTTTTATCTCTTCAGTGGATAAAATCCCCCAAATACATTATTTTTTTGAATTTAGAACTTTTCCTGTTACAATTATTTCACTTCACATGGCTTAATTAAAAATCTTCCAATTCAGAGAAAGATTGGTAAAGCCAAATAGGAAAGAAAATCAGAAACTGATTACTCACGGTGTAAGTAGGAAGACAGGGAAAGATTTAAAAGAATAAGGAAACTAAACAGAAGCAATGACAATGAGAGACATCCTGCAAATTTCCTGCAGTGATTATGTATTATTTAATCAGTGACAAAATTATAAGAGCCTACACATTTGATGTCTCACCACGGGAACACAATAGCCATTGTGCATGCTTATAATTGCCAAAGTAACATGGCAAAGAGAAGGAAATACACAGAATAATATAACTGAGTAATAAGACTTTTTCAATAATTGAAATGCAAGTGGTGAATTATTCAAATAACCATTTTTATACTGTAAAGCAGCAGATATATATGCAGTCTGGTAAACTGCATATATGTATAACATACTCAGAAAACAATTCTCTGATTCTCTGAAAAATACAGATTCTAGTTTTGATCAAAAGTTTATGAATGTCACATAAGAAAGTATAAAAGTGTAAATCAGAACATGTGAGTACTCACATGTAAAGTACTAGGATCCAGAGATCAAGAAATCTGTCAAGGTTGAAAAAGCACAGCTGAATCCTTTCAGGCTCAGCCTATGCTAACAAATTATTATGAATTGGAGTTTTGTCCATTACTGAGGGCAACTCTGTGGAAAAACCTTCATTCACACAATTAAACCATTAAACTCCCTTATGCTGCAGGACATCATGAAAACATCCACAGTGCCTTTTGGGGGGTCATGTATAGCCAGTGTTAACTCCCCAACAGTCTTAAGAAATGCTTTAGGAGATTATGAATGGCACATGCTTTTCAGGGACCAGGTCAGCAGAGTAACACAATATGAAATACTGTCCAGGAGCATTTCCAGGAGCTTTATTTAATAACATAGATGCAAATAAAGGCTTCACTATTGATGTTGTTTACCATTCCATTTATTCAGACTTGGAGCTTAGGTAGCTTGCACAACTATGCATCCAATAAGCTTATCTGGCTGGTCATTCCATGATTTCTCAGTCTGATGCCCTTCAATATTAAGTGTGTATATCTTGCTCTCATTAATAACTTTCCTTCTGGCACGCTGCTTCTCTGTACACTCGGGTATACTAATTGGAAGCCACTCCCTTTCTGTTACACCAGTTCATAATCCCAGGCTTACTCGTGAGGTGTGAAGACTAAGGTATGGCTCAAGAAGGCTTCATTAGAAATGCCTGATAGTCCACTATATGATTTTCATTTTAAGTTGCTTAGCAACCTTCCTCTGGTATCAGTCCCTGCGTACAGATTGGCAAAAGGCTCTACAAAGGAAAAACAGATAATCAAGGAATGGGAGAGATATCTGAAAGAAAAATCAGCACATAAAGGGATCCATTTATTAAACTTATTTTTGTGATTTTTTTCATGCCTTTTCATTTGTTCACTGATTATTAATAGAAGAGTAAAGATGCCATTGAGGTCTGGGCATCTCTGTAGCTTAAGATGATGCCAGGAATGCATTAATTAAAAAAAAAAAAAGAGAGAGAGAGAGAGAGAGAAAAGGATTTGTGACATGACAGTTGTAGACTGAAGGATCTAAAAGCAAAAAATCCATCCACTCTTCCCTCAAACTTCCTGGTGAGCTATTTAGTTATTACTGCATGCTTTTTAGAATGGAAATTTTTGAGAGATAATAATGGGCTCATTTTTGATGCTGTCCAGCTTTTTTATTCCTCATTGGTACAAATTCCATAAATTAAGAGCTGTGGAATTCTGGAAATTGGAATTGCTCTACAACACAGACTCAGGTATTTATCATAGACTGGAAACTAAAGACACTTTTGACTTGTTTTAATTTGAGTAATTATATCAAAGGCTGAATTTGTGGAAAATCATGCATAAATTTCCTTCAAGCATATATATCTGGGTAGAGCTACTGTATTGTGCCATAGAATACTATCAAGACTTTATCTTTATGCTGATGTATGTTTACATCTGGAGTCTCACCACAGAACCAACAGAAGTCACTTACCCAAAACAGTGTAAAATTAACTGCTTCCAAACAAACATCTTTGACTGCCTTTTGATAAAAGGCCATGTGTAGTTCCCCTATGCATTTAACTACAGTCTTAATGCTTTGAAGTACAATTTTTTACAGGCATGGGAATGGATCCTTGAATGAACAGTTATAAAGGACAGAGAGCTCCCATCCAGCTTCAAACACTTCTGTCTCAGCTGGTGACTCATATGGTTCTTATCTCAGATGTCCTTTTGACGTACTCACTAATAGTCTAAGGAAATTTAATTTGAAAATTTCCTCTTTTTATATTGTACAAGATTGAATTTGACAACTGAAGGCAGTGATTAGAACAAGAATATTCTTCAACTGTCAGACTCCAAAAATTTAGACTAATGGTGTGGAAAGAATTGTAAGCAGGAGGATAAAGGCTACAGAAATATTAAATCTCTCCTTAAACTTTTTTTTTTTAAATTATTCCTTAGGTATTGCATATGTTGGAGTGATATGGACTCAATTACTAATAGCTACTGAAAGAAAAGGCATAATTTGAGATTTACATGAGGAACGGTTTGATTTCTTAGTCTTGTGTCTGAGCCTCAGATTTCTCTGTCTATTTTAATAAACCTATAACTTGTGTTACTATATAATTTGACTGGTTTTGCTGCAAGAGAAAGTGACCTTATGTAAATTTGGGCTGACAATGAAGGACTTATGGTGCTGAGCACCTGAAGCAAACACTTCTTGCTTAGGCTAGATGAATCAGTGCTGGCTTCTTATGACTTGTAGGCAGCCAGCCACAATGATGTGCCACTGGGACCTTGGTCCATATTACTGATGATCCATGGAACTTGAGCAGTTTACCTGGTCAGATGAATGCTGACACCACTACAGGAAAGAACAAGCATTGCCGTCGGGTCTGTGAAGAGATTGTGTCCTTGTAGAAATCTGTCAGTACGGAATTCTTCCAGTATGTGCTCTCAGTGAAGGTATTTATTACATAAAGTACTTCTGACTCCTATATTCTTATCCTGTATACAATGTGATGACAGTGAAGAAAGAGGAAATTGTGTCTGTATATCTTCCCAGGCCCACTCAGGACATCCTTTATATGTTGTTCTTTGACAATCCCATCTATGCCTAGTTAGCTCCTCTCCTCCAGTCAGACCTTATAGTATAGGTCTTCTTCCACCTTACAGGGTAAAGTATGAAAACACTACCATCCTTCCTGTTACTCAGTGATGGAGCAATTTTCAGCTGCCAGCGTCTGTGGATTCTTTGAGCAAGAAGTTAAGCATGTAAATTCATCTACCACACTGTACTACATATAACAACTGCAATATTTTTTGGCTGAACGTATGTGATATCTGCATGATCTAGCTAATTGGCTTTGGCTGTGACAGATGGGAACCGTGGTGTCCAGGTGTGCTGGGTTTTGCAAACTTTCTGCTTCTGTAAGACCAGAAGCTGAGACTCTTCTCTTAGAATTGTCTTAGAGAGACAACAACTTTTTGTCCATGAAAATGGAATCTTCTACTTTCTACATAGTTAATCTGGGATTAGGGGAAAGATGCTAGCAGAAAAGGAAAAATAAACCTCTAATGTTTGTGGTTTTTGAAAAGTTGGGTAAGGATGGATTTGAAGTAGCAAGACTGAGCAGAATTATGGAGGGAATGAGTGGGAGGAGGAGGTTTCAGTGTGATGGTCTGCAGCACTTTTCCTTCATGTTGCTGTATTATTAACTTGATAAAGCTGAGTCACCTGAATCACTCCAGCTGAAGGCTTTCTATCCATAACCTCTTCCACTGAGTAAATAGGGAAGTAGGTTGTCTGCCTTTAGGCAGCTATCTCATCATTAAATGTAGTTTTGAAAAAGCACTAGCCTAAACTGGGATTTCTTTTTTTAGGCAACTGGATCAAATCCCAGCAGAAACTAATGTGGAAGTAGGAATGGTCATTGTGAGCCAAAGGACCACCCTGCAGTCTCTTTCAAATTTCAAATGACAATAAATATTAGAAGGATATTTTACACGATCTCAAAAATATGGTTGATACACTATGGAACCTTCATGGAAAAGAATCATGGGGAAAAAATAACTGGGAAAACAATCATTATGAGTTTAACAATTGGCAAGTGAGATGAACAACAAAGTCTCTGAGTCCTACTTAGATGGGCATAGTCCTACTTTCTTGCATGTAAGAACTGTAATAAGGTGGTGTCAATTAATGCATTATAGATCTTGTAGAGCCATCACATCCCTTATTATCACATTTTCATTTGCTGCATTTGGCTAGAGTCTGGAACACTGACATTTAAAACTAATCTATTGGGAGAAGTACTTCGAAGTCTAAAATTAAAATTGTGCATATGTTGCAGGAGTTCAGTTGGGAAGCATGATATTTTCTAGCATCTAAATATGTAATTAAACAAAGGCTCCTTAATTATACTATGCTCATTAACTCATACCTCTAATAAATGCCCATCTTTAAATATTTATATGATTGAATGAATGTTGCTGAATAATGTACTTTGAATGATTTCTGCTTAAAATAAAATCATTACTGTGCATATTGCCATTGTAAATCTGGAGAGGTAGTAATAACTCAATGGATTGCAGGACTTAGGGATCTTTTTTAAAGATGGGCAACTACAAATTATATTAGTGTAATTTTATGTCAATTTTTATGTTAATGAGGATGACTGAGAATGCCCTGCAATCAGGAACAAGGAGATTTATTCGAGGGGACTGTTCTCAATAGAATGTTACTTCAGCTTTTGGTCAAAGCAAGCTTCGTCATTGCAGACCTGCAAGCCTCAAGGCAGGTAGGTGTTCCTCCTGTCTTATTTTTCAGTATATCAAATCTTGTTTTCAGCTACAGTGAGGAGATATGTACAGTTATATATATGTTATATTTGGATTATAGCAGTTAAGCTGTTATCATTCTGCTATTCTCATGTCCACAGCATCAGCAGAAGACTTCATTTGTTAGTTTCTCTCGTTTGTGAAAGGTATGAAATATAATTTGCAAGTTAGTCTCAAATTTGTTCTTCAGCTATAATTGCTATATAACAGGGTATGAGTTCTGAGCTTTTGTGCACACCCAATGCACTTAAGTCATTAGTTCTTGGTGTGGTCCAGAAATTCCCTGTGAAGATATCTGCATAGACAAGAAAATGGACTGACTGAAGAAAAGTATATTACTGAAATCTTAGTCATCTTCCCAAAAAAAGCTGTTGACTAATTTGCAGAGGACCTCTTGATATCAGAATTTCAAACTGTCCCTAAGATTTTCCCAGGTGAAATACCTTGTCTGTACCAGTCTGGATGTGCAATGTATTGACTAACATCTTGGGTGAAAATCCTGACCTTTTCAGAAACTCCAAATTGTTCCTGTGCAGAAGTGACCAACTTTTGAGTAAATAGGACCCCTGTAAACTGTTGCTATCACGTGGCACAGATACAGAAATTGTCCCATGTGACAATCTCTTGTGTGTACCAAGGATAAGCAGGGGATGTTTCACATGTGATTAAAGCATTGGATTGTACATATGCTGGTTATGTGGTCATGTATGTCAGGGAGCAGCAAAGAGCAGGGCTGCTCCCTGAGCTGAGCTGGAGCCCTGGGTGACCCTGGTGGAGGCTGTGGGCAGTCAAGGACAGAGCCAGTCCCATAGCACCTGAACTAGGCAAGCAGAGCAGGGCTGGAGGCATTGCTGGAGAATGCAGGGGAGGTTGCTGGGGCAACTAATGCACAGTGCCTGACCATCTTGTTTGAAATTCCCAAAGTAGTGTTACTCAGTGCAAGGACCTCGATACTCAGTCTGTTTTCTTTTTTTCTTTTTTCTTTTTTTCTTTTTCTTGATTTTCTTTTGTTTGTTTCTTTATTTTTTCCCCATTTTCCCCCCTCTTTCCTCTTACTCCTTTTTCTGTACAATGCTTAAGCACTGCTGAAAAAGCGTTCTCATTTTATTTCTCTGACACCATTATTTTTTTATATTTGTATTTGCTGATTATATTTTATAGTGAACATTCAATTTTTTCCCTTATTTTTACCATTCTTTCTGAGAATGAGTAACTTATTATTTTTAGCCTTCTATTTTATTTTTTACTAGACAAATTTTCTCTCTCATATGAATTAAAAAATGAAATAATTTTTAATGTAAGTTCTGTGAAGTATTAAGTATGCAAATAAAGTATCTCATGAATGTATGACACATGAGATAAAATTATTTCAACTTTTGAAACATAAATTGTTGGTAATATAATTAATTATATCTGTAATTCATATTAATATATACACTGAGATGATCTGGTTACAGTCAGTATTCTACAGTAAGACTTCAATAATGTATAAATTATCAAAGGTAACTGTGTGTATTACTAAGCTTATTATACAGTTGTGCAAATAAAGCCCATATATAATTAGAAAACTGAATAGTAATCACATAGCACAGCCAAATTTCCTCCCAAACTTTTCTAGCAAAGTTACATGCAAGTATGAAATACCAGAAAGTGTATTGCTATCCTAATAGATTCATTTTTTTTATCTCCTTTAATTTAGTCCATACAGTAAGAATACATTTGAACTTCTGAAATAATAGCTTCAACTAACACTATGTTTTTTATGTTGTAAACCTATCCTTCATGAGAAATTTCATATTTTTATCTCTATGATTAGCAGACTTGTTTCACCATTCAGATAAAAAATACAATACAAAGCTAAACTTAATGTTGTCTGTTTTGGGTTGTTTTTATTTGTTTTGGTTTTTTGTTTGTGCTTTAGATTTTTGGAATTACTGATTTCCACTATATCTTGGTCTTTTCTTTCTGACGTTGAATAAAAGCATACAACTTTTATCAGCAATAAAATGTTACTTTCAGTTGTCTTAAAGTATGTAAGTATGGATCTATACTTAGAATCACAGAATTCTTTAGGTGGAAAAGCTCTTTAAGATCAAAGTCTGACTACTTACAGCACTGCCAAGTCCACCACTAAATCACGTCCCTAAGCATCATACTATACATCTTTTACATACCTCCCGGGCTGGTGACTCAACTACTACCCTGGGCATCCTGTTTCAATGCTTGAGAATGAAGAAACATTTCCTAATATTCAATTTGAATTTCTTCTAATCCAATTTGAGGTAATTTTATCTTGTTACTTGGGAGAAAAGACAGATCTCCACCTCACTCATTCTCCTTTTAGATAGCTGTAGAGGGCAATAAGGTGTCCCCCATGTCTCCTTTTCTCCAGGTGAAACAACTGAAATTCCTTTAGATGCTCCTTATTTTACTCCAGCCACTTCACCCACTCTGTTGTCCTTTTCTGGATGTGCTTTGGCACCTCAGTGCCCCTCTTGTAGTGAGGGGCTCACACAGGCAGAGTGATAAATGAGACAGAAGTTTAACAAGATTTGATGACAAGGTAAACTTGATTACTACATGGGGTCAGATAAAACTACCATCAAGACCCTCTAAATAAGTCAAGAGGTTTTGGAAGAACCTTTTGCTATTTAAATTCCTTCTCAGAAAGTGATCTAGATATAGCTGGATTCAATCCTAGTCCCATTGTTCAATGGTTTATGTCTAAAGGGTTAGATGTGCAAAATCATTCTTTTATGAAACTCAGCTAAGATTTCAACATTTAGCATGCTACTAATCTCTTGTCAAGGATCTGTCATGGCAAGGAATCTCTCAGCCTCAAAGAGCAGCATTGAGAGCCATCCTTACTAAAAGGGAGATCCTAGAGTGTAGCCCATGGTTTTCCAGGAAAGCTCAATGGGGCCTGAGCTGCCCACTATTTATAGAGTAATTATTTACCTATAGTCATACGTTCATACCAACAAGAAGTCTGAGCCACTGTCTTCCAGACTGCCCTTGACTACCATGCTGCTATTGGTCACCTTGTCATTGAAGGAGATCACATTGGTCAGGTTGCCTTTCATAATGCCATTATGCCTTAGTGTGGTCAACTGGTTGTACTGTGTGTGCCATGTGAAGGCACTCAAGATGATCTTTTCACACTGAAATAAGTGCCAATATAAAATAGGCCATTTTTTTCTGCTATCTGAAAGTTCAAATTTATATGTTAACTTTATTCAATAGTCATTTCATGCCCATTTGTTCTTGCACCAACATTTATCCCCTACTTTTAATAACTCTTCTTTTTATGCTCTACATTTTAGTACTGTCTTTTCAAGTTTCATTTTATCTATTTTAAGTGCTAGTAGTCCTTGTAGCTGCTACTCCTCAGCATAACTTTTATAGTCTCCAGTCAAATCATCTGTCTCTGGGCACAAGTATATTTTAAGAAGAAGATTGGTGTCTTGGCTTGAAAGCAACCCGGCATAAAGGGATCTGGGGGACCAACAGACAGCAGGCTCAGTGGGAGCCAGCAGCAGCCAAGATGGCAAAATGCATCCTGGGGTGCATCAGGCAAAGCACATCCAGTCAGAAAAAGAGGATTATCTATCATCCTGAATTCAGAATTGCTGCAGCTTCACTCTGGAGTCCTAGGCCACACAGGGTTAAGGTAGTCCAGTGTATCCAGAGGAGTTGGAAGGAATTTCCTCTGAGGAGCAGCTGAGGACTTTGTATAGTTCAGAGAAAAGGAGGCTGAGGGGTGACTTCATTGCTCTGTACAGCTTCCTGAGGAGAGGCGCTTGGTTGTTCTTCTTGGTATCTAGTGACAGGAAGCATTTCTTTACCAAGAAGTGGCCAAACACAGGGACAGGCTTCCTAGAGAGGTGGTCAATGCCCCAGTAGTGTCAGCACTTAAGAAGAATTTAAACAATGCCCTTAATAACTTTTGTTCAGTAGTAGTGGTCAGGGACTTGGATTGGATGACTGTTGAAGAGACCTTTCCACTGAAATAGGATATTCTGTTCTATTTCCTTTTCTAAATCTTTGTATAATAATTCTGATATCTACTGGAAGTAGCAGGGCACTTTTACACTTTCCCTTCATTTTTACCATATCTATATTAATTTGGCAGAATACAGTTATGGTCAGGGAAGTAATATTCTACTGATTAGCTTTCAGTTAATCTAGACGAAATTCACTCAATAAGTTCCTACACACATGGCCCCACTAAATTTTGTCCCATTTGTATTATTATGTTTTGTATTCTCATTATTCCTTTATATAATATTCAGGTCTTGTTTTGTTTTAACGATTTCTCCAAAGAAAGAAGGGTAGAAAGAGTTCAAAAAGACAGAAGCATTGACTGATATTTTTCTATTTTATTAATATGAAACAATAGATAATTAATAAGCATTAGTAAAAATAAAACTTAAAGTCTAATGTTATTAGAAATAGTATCTTCCCTAAATGTAACCTTATTCTCTTTTCACTGTCTCTCCCAGTGTTACATCTCTTATATGGTACTTCTAAGAAGCATATGGCTTCCACTTATTTCTTTTACTCCTCTGCCTCAGGATACAGAACTATGATCCTAAGTGACTTCCTCCACTAATTTTACAATTATGAGCTATAGAGCATGAGTTAAAAAGTCACATTTGAATTCATCTCTGTTCTTATTTATGCATACTTGGAAGTTTACACAGGATTGATTCGGTGTAATCCTTCCTAATGGATTTGATAAATACAAGATCAAGCAGAGATTCCCTTCAAGAATAACCCTGCTAGGATAAACAGGCTACAAGGTGTTTAAAGAACACAGTATCCTGACTACTGCCTTGACATCCATTCCATTAACCTTTTTATGGGGTAAAGCAGCAGTCCATGATAGTGGCTGATATGGAATAGCTGAGAGCTGGCAAATAAAATCTGTTTTGCATGCAGACTCTTTTAATACATAACTGATAAAGTAGAAACATCCTTATGTACTGTTATTCAGCCTGGGGCCTGTGTTAAAAAATTATTTCA